GTTCAACTGCCAGAAAAGCTTTCCCCTGAAGAAGCGAAAGCTGAAGGTGTACCAGCTGAGGTCCCTACACAACCAGCCAAAGATTTGGAGGAAGCTATGCAGATGACTGCGCCTTCTGAAGAAATCCAGAAGGTATCTGAAGAAATCCGAAAGGAGGAAGAACGGCAAGTTGCCGGTGCTGAAGAACGAGCTGCTGTACAAGAGACGGAAGTGCCAGCGCAACCACCAGTGCCGCCTCCACGAAAATTACTCGAAGAGAAGAAGGTGGGTACATTCAAACATTCTAGTTTTCTGGAGAGCTCCAACCAGTACAAACTCATTCGACTTTAATTTTGTTCATATCATCATTTAGATTATACGAGGGAGTTGGCAAGCTCCGAGCGCGTGATACAATAACAACTTTTTCAGACACTTGTTTCCGTACATAACATAACTATTAAGAAACAATGGTTCTTAAGGTTGAATTGATTTTTGAAACAGATCAAAGTTTTGAGAGTCTTTTCTTCCCTGTAATTAAGCGTATTGAGAACGTATGAATGGAATGTAATTTCGAGCCGCTCTGCATCAAATTCAGTTTCAACAATATTTGAGGACAACTTGCGATATTCTCAGGAAGCAACAGAGCAACTCACCTCTGAATCGACACTCAAAATGAAAACTACAACACCGGAAATGGAAGAAAGTCAGGAAGAAGTTGGAACCGATTTGCACATCGAAGGAGCATCGGATAAGGTATGTGAATTCCACTGCTGTTGATATCCGGGTAGTCAAGCAAAAAAAATGACTATCCCAGGTGGCTACTGTCGAAAAACAGATGGAATCTGCTACTTTCGCAAAAGTCACACATGCAAAGACGGAAAACATCGTCGTCACTGCAATTTCTCCAATAGTACTGAATCTAATCCTTTTTGATCACTTTGGCTAAATTTTCTTTTACAGGAGCAGTTTAGCGAAGAGTCTACAACCATAGATGCACGGCGGCCAAATGCTCATTTCAGCCATGCGGTCACAGTAGTCGAGCCTGAGGTTAGCTTACCGAATTCTAGAATTCGGAAGTTTCGGGATATTTGCACTTGGTCGAAATGAACCAAATTCCAGGTCGTCCAACTCGGGCTTCATTTGCCCGCACCAAGTGTTCCTTCGATGAAGTT